CCATCCTCCTGCCTCACTGTCTGAGTGCTGGGATTATAGGCATACTGCCATACCTAGCTTCCTGTTGGAATCTTTCAGGGACAATTGTCATTCAAAGTCTTATTTGCTCCCTCTGCCCAGAACTGTCTAAAACAGACAAACAACAAACAAACAGCCCAGCTTCCCTGGTTAAGGTGGAAATCAAGTCTACTGTGAGCTGGTTCAGGTTTTGCCTGTCTCTTTAGTCTTAGTGGAACCTGGAAGTTTTGAATGCTGCGCCCCAAGGAGGTCTGAGTGCCTGGGCAGGTCTTTGATGTGCACTGGGGAAGGCATTCTGCTTGTGAGGAAATAGAACCTGCATCCCAGTAGCCCATTCTCAGGGAGTCCTGTTGGCTCTGGAGCCACAGAAAACGTTGGTGATCTAGAGACAGGTTCTTGGGCACCTAGCTATGCCCCTCCTGAGTTCACTGATTACACCTTCCGTGGGTTCAAGGCTGCAGATACCCAGCTGGCTCTCTAAAACCCTCCTCCCCACACTTGAGGAAGCCAGTGAAGCCCTCTCTGCTTTCACTCTGAACTGGGCTGCCCCAGGAGACCTGCTCTCCTCAGGAGCCAATTGGCCTCCCACTTCTGGTAGGCAGAGGTGGCAGGACAGGACTTGCTGGTGGGCACATTCAGCAGCCCCTGGCAGTGTGCGGGCTAGACATACCTATGGGCAGAATTCCCAGGAACTGGATGTGAAAGTCCATGGTTCGAAGCCACGGCTGCCTGGACCATCTCCCACCGCTCAGTATTGCTAGAGCCCCTCATATCATCTTGCTTTGCCTGCTCCTGCTTCCATGGCTCTCTTTCAGATCTCAGTGACTTTTCTTCTCTTCCCCTTCCTCAGAAGAGCCAGTGCTTCAGGTTGTAGATAGTACCTTGTGCTCCCGGGCCCACCCAAGCCACCCAGGAAGTGGTAATCATGACCTACCTCACATCTATAGATTTAGAGACAGATCCTTCCAATGTAGCTGAGGCTGGCCCCCAGCTCTCACTCCTTAGACTCTTCAGTCCTGGGATTACAGACTTGTGACTGCCAGGCCCACGGGCTAGTCTCTCTTTTCCTAAAGTTGCAACCGCCAGCTCCCCATACCTTCATATAGAGCTGCCTTCACGGAGTCCATCACTCCATTTGCTTCAAGGACATCCCTGCCTTTTCAATTCTTGGGTCACCGTGCTGTTTCTGTTTCCTCACCTGTGACAACCCTTGGCTGGCCACCTGTGCAACCAGACAATTATCTGTACCATGAGCCATTTCTGTCTCCCATGAAAGACTTGCCTGTCCTCTCTCTGTCCTTGCTTGTCTAGTATAGGGTGTGGAGGGTAATGGTTGGTCAGAGGAGGATATAGCTCTTGTAAACTTGCTCACATTCAGAGCCCAGTAACAGGACGGCTACATGTATGTTTTATACCCATCTTCTACCTGACCTCCCTGTAGTGTAAGTAGGGTTTGGGGCACTGAAACATGCCTGTGTCAGTAATTTGTTTTGGCTGGGGAAGCTGCTATGTACCCCAGCTTCTTCAGCCACACCCCACTTCCTGTTGTCTTTGGAGTCTGCCACCTCCTCTATTTTGGTGGAAACTGTACCAAACAAGGCTTGTGAGCAGTGTCTTTCCAGATGTCCCCTCAGCAGCGGGGAGGCAGGGCTCAGAGGAAGCCGCCTTGCCTGGGACAGCCTCAGGTCATACCTCAGGCTAGCTCTAATTGTGTTACTCACCTGCACCCCAACAGCAGTCTCTTCCTTTGAGGCAGACAGAAGTATTACACGGGCATTTTTTTTTTTCTTTCTCCCTGCCTGAGTCCAGAGGGCATCCCTGGTCTGCTGCTACCACCTTTCCCAATGCAATGACTCTAATGACACCAGATACCCGGAGCTCCTCCTATCTAGACAGACTTGGAGAGGCAGAAAATAGCGCTAACTCAATTTCTTGTCCTATGCCTTCAGCATCACCTTACCTGGCAGCTGCACCCTGGCGTGTCGGCTACCCACCTCTGGACAAATACCAGATCAGTCCCAGGGAAGCAGCATAGCCCCAAAGCCGTGCTGAGCCTTTTTTGAATTGATGATGCCGAACCTGGAGGTTTGCTCCCATCAGCTCCCCTTGTAGATTGAGAGAGACAGGGGTGTTCTGATCAATGGCTTAGTGCCGGAGGACAAACTGGTGTGGGACTTCCCTGAGAAGCCTCCCTCCCTGTATTCTCCTGTCATCAGAATTTACAAAGCTTCTAAGTGAGCAGTCCCTGGAGAATAGCCCTAGAATTTTGCAAGTCATGAGCCTGGATATAAACTCTTAGTCTGCACACCACTCCAACCACCCCTCCCCGACACAGAGACTACCCAGAGCAAGGCAGAGGGATCTGTAGAGCCTGTGCAGCTTGGAATCTTTCAGTTCAGGACTAAAGACTATACAAACTGCTATGTGAAATGCTGGCTTGGTGTGTGTGTATCTGTGTGTTGCACAGCTGGACGTGTGTGCACGTGGAATCCAGAGGTCAGTAAGTCATCCATCTTGTTTATTGACACAGAGTCTCTCACAGGGAGCCGAGGCTCACTGTGCTCGGCTAGTTGAGTCCAAGGGATCCTCTTGTCTATGCCTCTCTAGCACTAGTATTACACTACGTGGCACCGTATCTTACCTTTAAATTGGGTGCTGGGAATTGACCTCGGGTCTTAGGTTTGTGGGACAAGCAGGTTAACAACTGAGCCATCTTCCCAATACTTGACTGCTGGTTTTTCAGTGGTTAGATTTTAAGACCAAATGGCACAGACAAAGAAAGAAAGCATAAAAGAATGGGATGGGGGAAGGCCATTCCTTCTTACAGATAGCTTGAATGGAAAGCCTTGTCTCGAGACAAGCAGAGAGGAACTTAAGTACAGAGGCTGGTCATAGTGGTGACGTCTCTACCCTAACACTTGGGAAGCACAGGCAGGAGGGTTGTGAGTTGGGTGACAGTCTGGGTTTCTGTCCTGGCTTGAACTATTTTTTAAAATTTATTTATTTTTATTTTATATGTGTTGGTGTTTTTCCCTAGGTGTCCAGTTCTCTGGAATTGGAATTACAGACAATTGTGAGTGGCCATATAGGTGCTGGGAATTGAACCTGGGTCCTCTGAAAGAGCAGTCAGTGCTCTTAACCATGGAGCAATCTCTACTGCTGTGATAAAACACTGGCTGAAAGCAACTCAGAGGGGAAAGGTTTATTTCTTTCTACAGCTCACAATCCTGAAGGGAAATGGGGAGGATCCTGGAGGAGGCATTGAAGCAGAAACCATGGAGGAACTGCTTTCTAGCTCCCCCAGTTGCTTTATAAATACAGGCAGGGCCATGTGCCCAGGGATGGCACCATTCACAGTGAGCCAGGCCCGTCTACATCTATTATTACTACTACTACTACTACTACTACTACTACTACTACTACTACTACTACTACTACTACTACTACAGCTACTACTATTATTAGCTTTATTTTTTTTGAGATAGGATTTCTTTGCATAGTCTTACCTGTACTGGAACCATCTCTGCAGACTAGGCTGGTCTTGAACGCCCAGAGATCCTCCTACCTCTGCTTCCCAAGTCCTGGGATTCAAGGTGTGCACTGCCATTCTTGGCCTCTGCATCATTTACCAATCAAGAAAATGCCCCACACCCTTGCCTACAGGCCAATCTGATGAAGGCATTCTTTCAATTGAGGTTCCCTCTTCTCAGATAATGCTAAGTTGTGTCAAGTTGGAAAGAAACTAACCAGGACAGTTACCCAGGAATTTCTAGGCCAGCTTGTGATTTATAGGGAGACCCTGTTTCAAAATAAAACGAAACAAAACCAAAAAAGCAAAGTGAAAACAAAAAACAAAATAAAACATCAAAAAAAAACCCCAATAACAACAACAACAACAACAAAACCAAATTAAGCTCTCTTTCCTGCCGAAGGACAACTTGCCCACTGTGTCCTGACTGGTCTTCAACCCTGAACAGAAGAAATGCTTTTGGGGTGCAATCCGTGAAAGCTTTCCAGCGGTCTTGGAGTTGGAACGGGTATTGCGTGCCACATCTAAATAGCTGAGCCTCTTGAACCAAAGCCGCCAGTCTTGGATTTTTAAATCTACCTGTGATCTTTGTCTGCAGATCAGTCCCCTCAAACCCGTGGGGAAATTCTTCTTTAACTGATTGTGAAATGCCTCCTGTTGGGAGAGGACTTCTCCTTACCCCGTTTGATGCCGTCCGTCAGACGGTAGTTAGGGTGTAGTAAGGGGAGTGGGCTGTGATCACAGACTGCCTTGGACACCCAGCCAGTGGTTCTGTTCGTGGGTATCTTAGCTGGCTAGCTGGGCCACATCCCACAAGCCAAGCACTCAGGCAGGGGACATTGTTTGAGTGGGACTGAAAGCTTTTGTGACACAGAGCTAGGAAGTCAGTGAGCTAACTGGGCCACCGTTCTGGACTTGGTTCAGCAGAGATGATTGATGTCAAACCTGGCATGCGTGAGTCTCACTGGGGCACAACCCTGTGACAGGCTCACCAGACACCACCGCTCCCCCCCATCACTGAGCATGCTTGGCCGCTTGAAATCTGGGTAGAATTTTGGTCTCCTGTAGGGGACCCCATCAATGGGAGGGAGAAGAAGCCTTAGCCTAAGCTCCCTCCTTTCGGCATGCCAAGGAGGAGTGAGGGGAGCGCCTTCTCTGCTCTATTTCTTCCCCTGGCCTATCTGGGAGAGGAGATGGCTGGAAGCCCTGCCTCCTCCTCTTCTGCAGGTGGCGTCCCCCCACTGAAAACAAGCAAATTTGACTCATGACAGCAAAGGTCACACAAGCTCCTGTCCGGCAAATCACTAGAAGAACTGGGGCAGTGGGACTAGCAAATATTTTTTGGATCCCCAAAAGCTCAGCAAGTTACCCCACCCCTGATGAGTGTTATTTGTGGATCTTCTTGAAGACTGCGTTTGTCATTTTGAATTTCTAACAGGCCTTATTTTTACAGTTCCCGAACACCACGGCTTTAAGAATACCCTTCACCCAGGACGACACTCTGTGGCTTTAGGACTTGCCTGGTAAGGACCACCATCACTTTGCAGTTTTATAGTTTGTTGAAGTGGTGTGTGTGTGTGGGGGGGGAGGTGTCTGTCTCTGAGTCTGGGGAAATCCAGGCTGCTTTTTCTCGGGGTGGGGGAGACTTGTCACAGGTTTCTGAGCTAAGCCAGAATTCTTTCATGAACTCCCCTCTATTCAGATGGTTGCAGGGGACTGTGGAAGGTGGCCCCGGGTTCAGGTTTTCTGGGTAGAATGGACATGTACTCAGCAGCAGTCGTGCTGAAGCTCAAATGGAGTCATCAACTAAGCAGAGCCTAGCAAGGGTGACTTCACTCACTGTTGTGTGGCATCTTAGCTGTGGGCATCTGGGAACAGAGCTGGTGAGCTGGGCTACTAGAAGCCAGGGGGCCCCAAGAGTTCACCACCTGTGGTCACGTTCCATGACACTCCTCTGTGATTCGGTGAACTGGTCCAAAGTTGGGGGACGTCTGTCCCGAGCAGTGCCGTCCCTGTCATCTCAATCATCCTTGAGACTCCAAGCTCCCAAGTGGAGTGTTTTCCCTACGCAGAAGTCCACAGAAACTTGTATAATATAGAAGAGCGTCCTTCGTTGGCCCCGTTTAAAGTGGCCCCAGAATTTCCGTAAACTCACCTCTGATCTAATTAGTCCTGTCCACTTTCTTCTGGCCATGTGTCTCCGAGGTCACTCGATAAACCAGGGGAAATTGATAGTGGAATTACGTCCTCAGAAACTAATTTTATATTGTACTAAATATATGTATTTTTTATTGTGACTTTATCTCATTGGGGAAAGTGCTTACTTCTGATTTTGTGGATATTACTGACCGTGGATTACTTTTATTTTGGTTTTTACACAACAGTTATATTAGAAATTTGCTGTTTTATTCTTACCTTCTTAGTAAAAATCCTTTTATCACACAATGGGTAATTTATATCCATTACCAGGCCTTTCAATCCTTTTCAGCGGGCTGTCAGTGCCGTTGGCACAGTAATGATTAATGTGATCTAATAATAGTGTGCCATTATATTACCTTAGTAAAACATGTACCAACATCCTATTCGGATCTACCAAATTCATAGCTTCCTATAATATTTTTGTTGAAAGACAGGATTACTATTTTTCAAAGCTGATTTTTCCCCCTTTAACATATTTAATGAAATTCACAATTCTTTGCCTTGGTAATCCAGGGCATGTGATTGGACGTGACGGGCGAATGCCAGGTCTGTAGGCACCGTTGTGATTTGTCAGTTGAGAGTGTGGCAGTCCCAGTGATCTGCCAGGAAGATTAGTTTGTTTTTGTCGAGTCTGGGTCGTTTTGCCTTGAAGAAGAAGAGGAAAAGGAACACTATAAATTGCCAGGTCTCCAGTCCTTTCTGACTTCAATAAAGAAAGTATATTTTAGGTCAAAAGGCAGAAAAATATGCAATTCGGTTTCAAGGTACTTTTATTTTCTGCCATTTGGTCCCCTCTTTTGTCGCCTACTTCAGTCTGCTGGTGGACAGGAGAGGTGACAAAGCCGGAGGAATTGTCATCAGAGAGATGTCCCATCATGCTCCTCTCAAGGCTCTTTACCAACAACCAGACCTCGTTGGGTCTGCCATGGGGAATCCTCAGCTTTGGCACTGTGTGCATGTTAAGCTAACTGATTCTGCACTGGAGGAAGCTGTCATCCAGTGGGAGACTTCACAGCACCCCCAATCTTGTCCTGCCATGAGCACAGCTAATATATACCCAGAAATCTCTACTTATCCCTGGGAATACAGTCAGTCCTTGTTGGAGCCCATTTGCCTCATGTGACAGACACACAATCAGATCCCTGTGAGTATAAGGGAACTCAGAGGGGACTCTGGAACCTCAGGTACCTCTTCTCCATCTTTGACTCTGGGAGAGGGGACATGTGGACGGCGGACACAGGGCTTTCTTTGCTTGGCTGAAATACAGTACTCTTTCTTCATTTTCCCTCCTCCTCTGTCAGAGAGCCAGGCCTGAGCAAGGGCCTGAATCTTTAGCTTCTTCCACTCAAATCCCATTATAATCATGCGCGTGATTGATAACATTCCACCTTTTCAAAGGACTTTAAAATCTGTATCAACCAAGGATGACATTATTGTAGTGTCAGAGAGATGTACTCAAACAATTACACACTCAGATCGAAGTGGAAAGGGTTGTCCTTCTACCCCTGATGCCTTTGTGATGTGGTTTGAGCCAGCATCTCAGCCCACTCCCACCCTCATCCCCATCTTCATCCCCAGTCCCAGCCCCGCCCCCCAAAGCTCCAGCAGCAAAATAAATGAGAAGAAACAGGTTTTGCCCCTTGAACTAGTCATCTTGAAAAGCAGCTTGAATATTGGGGCTGCTTAGGACTGGAGGTGGGAGCAAGAGAGAGAGTGAGAGAGAGAATGAGAGCGAGAGAGAGTGAGTGAGCGAGAGAGAGAGAGAGCGAGAGTTAGCAAGAGAGAGATCTTATTTTTGATTCAGAACAAGAATTACTACTGCAACATTGACTCGAAATATGCAATCAACTGAAATCAGGAAAAGTATTTTGAATACAAAATTTATATTGAAATACTCAAATCTTGATACATGTGCACTCACATACATGTATATATTTAAATCAAGGATAGAGAAGATGAGGAATAAAGCTTTTGTCATAAAAATACTACTGCAATATTTACCCTCAGATGATTCTGCATCATTGGAGTGTATTTTTGTACCATTAACATTTTCCATATGAGACATTCTTGCTTGTTTTAACAACAAATGAGCAAATGGAGCTAATTTACCTTTGTGGTAGGAAGATTTCAAATGCATTGTGATATTTGGGATGGGAAGCATCTATACCCATTTCTGGTCTGTCTCCCATATGGAAAGGGTAGGATTGGAGAGGGTAAAGGTTATTTGTGTGTTGTTCAGTATTATTTCTCTAGTTCTTGGAATGGAACTTGATGAATAGTAGGTTCCTAATATCAGGAAGTGGGTGGGTGAGTAGATATGTATGTGGATGGATGGTTAAGTGGATGCATGGGCATTTAGATGAATGGCTGGATAGATGGATTAATGAATGGATAGATAGTTAGATGGATGTTTGGAGTAGTAGCTGGATGGGTGAGTTAGATAGATACATAGATGGGTAGATGGATAAATGTAGAGAAGGATGGATGGGTGTTTGGATGTTAGGTAGATGTATAGGCAGCTGAGTAGATGAACATGTGGATGGGTAGATAGATGAGTGATTGGGTAGATGGATGCATTGTGGGAAATGTGTTGTTGGGTAGGAATGAGAATGAATGGCTAGAAAGATGGGTAGTTAGGTGGGCGGCTAGGTGGATGGATCTTTGTATGGGTAAATGGATAGATGAGTAGGTAGATAAGCAAAAGGTTGGCTAGATAGGCAGAGGAATGGGATGGATGGATGGATGGATGGATAGACGGACAGATGAGTCCATGGATAGGTGGATGAATTGACTGATAGATGGCTAGTGGGTGAATGGATGGGTAGATGAGTCGGTGCGTGAGACTTTGTTTCAAATCTTTACAAAAAATTATGGAACAATGAAATGCCACATTTGCTCTCTCTTCTCTCTTGCCCTCTTAAAAATTTAACTTCAAAATGGACAGTTAGAGCCATGCATTCTCATTACCTCTTCTTTTTAGTTTTTTTTTTTCCAAGTAGAGGGAAACGTCTGAGACTGTGTAAGGTCTGAGACTATGTAAGGTAATCACTGTAAGTGGAAAGATACTTTGTTGCCAAGCAGATTCTGTAAAGATCTCCAGGAGCGCATGCGTCTGTGGTTGGCCTGAAAGACAAGCACGGGAGAGAAGGAATGGATAGACAGGTGGAGGGGTAAGTGGATGAACAGCTCAAGCAGGGGCAGGTGGCCTGTTTCAAAGAGGAGATAGTTCATGGGTCTCAGAAGACTCTGTGCACATGCATGATGCCTATCTCCTGGCTAAGATGGTAATTGAGTGTTTCACATTTGTAGAGGCCCTCGGCATCTCCTTCCAACTTATCGTGTTTCATTTCTTTGAACTGGTCCATGCTCAACCACGTAGAGTCAAGCTATCTTTAGGTCCAGTGTGTGGGATATTCCCAAGACCAGGTACAGTCAGTGCGATGAGCAGTCTAGGAAGTGTCATCCCAGTGATGGGGATGGTCCAGGTCTCTCCATCACTGACCTTTAAATTATTGTACGGTGGTCATCACTGCAGCATCAGGGAGAAAATAATAGAGAAGGGAGGGGCATCCATTAGCTATGAAGAGATGAGTTCTACCTCAAACAAGTGAGTTTTGGAGTCATATTCCCTAGGTCAGGACATTAGTCCTACTGCACGTTGGCTGCACGAACACATGCCAAGTGGCTTACACTTCCATTTTCTCATCTATATATCAGGAGTAACACGAATGCCACATGCCTAACACAATGTCTGGCTCCAGGTTGACAATGACCGTATGAACCGCTCATTGTTTTCACTTTATCTGCTCAGTCATCTCCCCATTTCCTCTGCTTCTAAACAAGAATAACGCAACTGTAAACCGTTTTCAGAGACTCAAGCTCTCTCTGGCTCCTACCGAAGCTAGGATCCTCAAGACATTGCCAGGCATGTGGTCTCCAACACCCTTGGGGACCTCAGTTAGTAAGTTCAGAGGCCTGCAGGAGGAGTGGTGAGTGTCTTAAGCCAGCTTCCCCATCCCATTTCCTTTGTGAGGGAGCTTTGTTGACACACCACTGGGGGTTTGGGATTTGCTTGCTGCTTGGGGAGTGAATTCCTGGGATGGAAGCCACGTGGTCACAGTGGGTGAGTTGTTCCCATTTTTTTTTTTTTTTGAGAGGGAGAGGAGCCCCATAGCTTTGCTCTCATATCCGCCTGTGAGTGAGTCTGCTCCACACACCACGGCCCTTTTTTTTTTTTTTGTATTTTTAGCTGCCACTGAAATTTCACATTTTGCTTTAGTTTATTATGTATGCAAGTATCTTGCTGATAAATTACATGTATAAT